CTGGTAAAGACTGGCTTTTCCTCTGAGTCAGATGGAAAGCCATTGCAGGGTTTTGAGCAGAGCAGTGAGATGATCTGATTTACCTTTAATGGATTGCTCTGGCTGCTGGGTTGAAAATAGATTTAGGGAGCATCCAGAGTAGAAGCAGGGAGACCAGTTCAGAGGCCATTGGAATAATCCAAATGAGAAATGCAAAGTAAGACTTTGAGCAGGGTGATGGCAGCAGAGATGGTGAGAAGTAGTTGGATTCTGGATGTATCTCAAGGATAGAGCCAATGGGATTCCGTGACAGATTGGATGTGGGTGGTGAGCAAGAGTCAAGGATGACTCCAAGATTTTTGGTCCAAATAAATAGAAAGATGTGGCTGCCAGTATCTGAACTGGGGAAGAATATGAGAGGAACAGGTGAGGAGGAAGACTAGGAGGAAAATTTTGGATGGACTGTGACCCGAGAATGGGATATTGGTGTTTAAATTTCTGAAATGGAACCATTCTGAATGGTCATAAAAGCTGGGTGTGACTCTGGGGCTGGGTGTCTGAAAGTGGAATAAAGTCAAGTCATGATGAGTAAGGAACTTAGAACTCCGGAACGTGAAAGGTTAATGAAATTTCTAGGATAGTCTCCTAGGATGGTGGCCCAGGCAACAGAGGAAGGAGCAGGGCCAGGCTGCTCTCACCCTTATGATACAAAGTTTGAATATAAATGGTTAGAGGTCACGCAAATATTAGTTGGAGGTGTACAGAGTTTGAATTGGATTCAGATTTTGAACCTGATACGTTAGAAATAAGCAAGATAGAAAACTGATCATATTTGCTGAGTCACACCAGACAATATTACAATAAAGCTGTTTGGAACATATCCAGATGAGATAGATTTATGATCCTGTTGTAGCATGGATCAAAAAGAGTGGGTTGAAAAAGAAATTCAATAAACGTTCAGTATTTAAGCTTAATTGTGTTATTAAAAAGCTTTTTAGGGGCCAGTGCCGGTGGCCTAGGGGTTAAGTTCAGTGCACTCCACTTTGGTGGCCCAGGTTCAGTTCCCAAATGTGGACCTACACTGCTCTGTTAGCAGCCATGCTCTGCTGGCAGCCCATGTCCTAAAAAATAGAGGAAGATTGGCATGAAGGTTAGTTCAGGATGAATCTTCTTCAGCAAAAAAATAAAAAAATGCTTTTTGGAAAGACATTCATGTTTGGTTTTAGATATGTTTAAAGCTCAGTGATACCATTATATCAACTCATGTAGCACTTTAGAAAGCATGGCCCTGTGACATCTTAGGAAAGTTTTCAAATAGTCATGGCAAGCCAAGAAATACCCTCAGCCCCATTTGCAGGCCATGTTTCCAAACTCAGTCCTTAACCATTGTTAAAATGAAACAATAGGATGACCAGTCAGTCCTTTATAACTCCAAGTACAATAAACCTCCAAGTTCAGGAACCAGTATTTGATAAAGGTTTGTAAAATGTCATACGTGTGAGCTGGTGGATGTCACTTACATGTCTGAATTCATTTAAGACTATTGAAATGATAATCCAGGTTTATACAGGTTCTGCAGATATAGACGGATATTTATCTATATGTATTGAGACTTTACTTGAGAATGGAAAAATCTAGAAAGCTCTTGCCTTACATTGCCAAGCAATAAGTGAAGAAAAAAAAGATAATGAGATACCTATATAATCCTTTTTTTTAAAAAAAAAAAAAAACCTACCTTGTTTCTGACTGCCAATAACCCAGTCCAAGCTTTTATCTCTTCAAAAATGCAAAACAAGTCATCTAGATGGGACTGGCTGTTTATAAACAAGTATCTAATATCTAAATCTAATTGCTTTGTGGAAATTATGTGTTTGTGATTGATTAAAATATTCAGCATATGTAGGTTTCATCTTTTAGTTCAATAGAAAAATATAAATGACATTGGTGGTTGAATTTCTATCAAAGTGGCAAAGACAATCCCAAAACATCCGTAATTCACCCGCTGAATTGGAGATGATTCACCTTTCAGGGACTTCACAGGTGTTGACTTCGCCAAAGGAAATAGGTAAATCATTTTCCATTCATTTTTTTTCTTTGAGGCAAATTTTCAGTAAAATTGTTTGTGAAAAATATCAAAATATACTCATATAAGTCCATAACATGTCCACTTGAAAAATGAATTTGCATCAACTTTTGAGATGTGAAGACTATGTAATGTAGTTTTTGTGAAAAATAACTAAATTGAGTTCCTCCTAACTAAATCAGGAAGAGGAGGAATTCTAAATCAGTATTTCATGCAGTGCTGAATTACATGAAAAGAGACCTGATTGTGCGGTGGTGTTCAAATAAAATGGGTCCAGAGAAGAATTAAGAAAGAAACCTACCCCTCAGTGATCTAGACAACACAGACGTGTGGCTGTGAAACCCGGGCAGTTGCTTGGTGAGGAGGTCATCGTCAGATGTTCATGGCTCATGCCCACGAGCTTGTGAGAGGCCATGGGGAAGAATGCCCTGTTTTTGGTCCTACAGGAGCCCACTCAGTGGTTGCAGCACAGCCCAAGCTTCTGACTGCACCAAGTGGCCAGTCCCAGGTCGGCAGTGCCCTTTTTTCTAAATCAGTGTCAGCGCTGGTCTCTCAAATTGTACAACTTTTCTTAACAAATGCTTTGTGAAGCTGCTGGTTAGCATTGTTCTCATTTCAGTAGTCAATATTCACCACATATTCCCGCTTTTTATGGGACGAGACAAAGAAGCTAGGGAAAATTACTCTCCATAAGTCCGCAGTTTGAAGACGTGGTGACTGAGGAGGCACACCTGAGTGAACAAGGGGCTAGGCAGGATAGGGCTAGATCTTAAATTTGGATACAGAAGACTTAAGTAAACAATAGACAAATGTTCTTTATACATGTAGCTCTCTTGCTAAGTGATGAAGGTGGTATTTTAAGAAAATAAGTCTGAAAGTAATGTATAGCATTGTTAGGACAGGGGGAAAAGGTGTTCAGAGAGCTGAAGGTTATACTAAAAACCTAAAAATTAATATTTTTGCATCACCTTAGAGTTTTCAAAGAGTTTTGGCACACACCTCATTTGATCTTTGGGATGACCTGTGGGGTGGATATGAAAGATGCTGTTATCTTCGTTTCACGGATGAGGGAACAGGAACCTAGAGAAGTTAAATGACTTGCCTAGAGTCATGCAGCCATGATTGGCAGAGCCAGGATTCTCCCATCTGTCACCTGACTCCAGTTCCATTGCTCCGAACATGATTGTATCCTGGATAAATATGGAGGCAGGAATGGAGAGTGAGGGACAACTCAGGGAGATTTTGAAATAACAAGTGAAAGAAATTGGCAATTGATTGGGTATAGGTGGTAAAGAACCAGGAGAAGGAAAAGGTGATTCCTAGCTGCCCAAAGCCTGGAAGATGGTGAGATTAATAATACCGTCAGCTAATGTTGGCAACATGCTTACTATGTGCCAGGCCCCTGTGCCACACACTTCGCTGTATCGCCGCCTCCATTGAATCCTCACAATTCTTGGAGGGGTGGTATTATTATTATTCCCTATTTTACAAGGGAAATACATGAAAGTTGTTTTCACTTTTAGAGAAAGAAAAAAAATCAAAGTTTTTGCTCCAAGACAAGGTAAAGTTCAATTGGACTCATTGGCTTATGGTGACCATGCTTAGGACCTGAGACCTGGGGCAGTGGCTTGATGTTCTTGTGTGTGTGGACATAATTATGCTGCCAGCCCCGAGGTAACCAAGCTGGTTTAATGGTGATTATGATGTCTGCAAATCCAGCACTGCCAAACTGTTTGTTTAAGGCCTCTGAGGTACTTTGCTTGTCATTACAATAGACTTCCCTAAGTAGCTGGTTTTGTCTTGGCTCTGGCCATTAAGATGGTCAGCCAGGTGATCCAGGTATGTTAGATAAGAATGCTTTCCTCCTCAGTTATTTTTTAAAAATAAAAGTATAACTAAGTACAGTTATCAAGTGACTGTTAGTATAAATATTGCATTTATGTAGAATACACTATTTAAACTAACACTCTTAAATACAATTACATTCCTTCTTAACTGTTGCTAGTTACTTTTGCTTCTTAATCGTTATCAGTTACTGTCCAGCGTAAGCCTGCGTTTCCCCTTAGGTTAACCAGTTCACACATTTCAGCCTTATCCTGAGCCTCTGTGGGTGCCCAGGCTTTGTCGGAGCCCCTGATTGTCCACACCTCCCCTAATCTTGGAATTGCTCTGTAACTTCATTTAAACTACTCAAGAGAAGACCCTTCCCAAATTTCCTGCTTTCATTCCCTGCTTCCTCTTTCTCTCTTGGTCAAACAGAGAGAGAAAAACAATGTACGTATCAAATAAAGTAAATAGTGTATGAAAAAAATCCCAAACCCTTTTCCAAATAGCAGTTTACTTTACAGCTCATTTCTAAAGGCTCCGAACTACATCTCTTGAGATATCCACCTGCTCATTATTTGTTTACTAGACTGCATAGAGAGTCTCCTGGCAGCCATAAACTTCATGGAAAAATCCTCTTCTCTGATACCACCTGTTTGTAGGAAGGTGGCCCTCTTTTAAAAGACTTGGAGGGGCCGGCCCCGTGGCTGAGTGGTGAAGTTCACACGCTCCGCTTCGGTGGCCCAGGGTTTCGCTGGTTCAGATCCTGGGTGCAGATGTGGCACCACTCATCAGGCCATGTTGATGCAGCGTCCCACATGCCACAACTAGAAGGACCTACAACTAAAATATAGAACTATATACTGGGGGGATTTGGGGAGAAAAAGCAAAAAAAAAAAAAGACTTGTAGCTATAGAAGCAAGAAATGCCAGAATTTAGTTCTTTTTGAAAATAAATTTCAATAAATCATAACAGTTTTTTACAGGGCTGTAAAGTGGTTTCTTCCCGGTGGTCCTTCACTCTGAGGCTGCATTAGGATGCTGGTGGGATGTTCTGTCCGTGCCCGGGGCAGAGGGTCATGACTGTAAGTGTCTTTCTTCCTGACCCCCTCTAGGATTGTGAAGATGTCCAGTCCCAATCTGAACATGGTCACCTTACTAGGCAGTTGTATGACTTACAGTAGCGCTTACCTCTTTGGGATTCAAGATAAAAACGCTTCAGTGGGAAGCTCAATGGAAACTCTCATTCAGGTAGGTGAAGTCTTAAATTTTTTTGTAATATAATGCCCATGTTTTGGTAATTTTTTAAAACAGCTGCTCCTGTGGGGGGTGGTTACCTTTATCCTGGGTGTGAGCACTTTCAGAGGGGATCCCTGGAACTCTTAGTCAGTGAGGTCCACTTTCTGCCCCATGCCCTCTATGGACTGAGGCCTGCCGGGGTCAGAATGTGTGGAGAACTGACAAAGGTTCCTCTCATGATTCTTGCTTCTGTGCCTTTCCATCTATAGATAAGACTGTCCATGCTGTGCATTGGAACCTCCCTTGTGTTTGGCCCCATTCTGGGAAAGAGCTGGCGACTCTACAAGGTGTTTACCCAGAGGGTCCCGGACAAGAGAGTGGTGAGTAGGCAGCAAGCACACACTGCTTGATTGCACACAGCTGCTCCACTACTGATTAAAAGACAGAGAAGCTTGTGCCAGGTTACCGGGTCCGGCCCTTTACGACAATCTGAAGTTCCTGCTGCTCACTTCAAACCTTGGAGTCATGTGGCCTTATAATCCCCAAGCCTGGAAGGCTATGCGTCTGTGCTGTTGGGAGATAGGTCTTTGAGCTAAAGTTCTGCTTCGTATGCACCCCAAGCCCTAATACTGATCTGGGGATGTGTGAGCTGGGGATCCTCCCAATGTGGGAGGGAGAGCAAGGTGCCCAGAGAGACTGCTACTTGGCACAGGTGTGAGCTGAAAGTGGACAGAGGGAGAGTGATTACAGGGAATCTGTAGCAAGTAAGCAGGGTCACTTCCCTCACTGGAGCCCAATTCTTTTCCATGTAGAAGGCCATTCTCTGCACTAGGAAGGGTGGGCCTGGAGCAGTGAGCAAGGAAGAGGATCCCCATTCTGCAGATAGAATCAACCCTAGAAGCTATGGGGCAGCCACATGCCTACATGTCCCTGATATCAGATGTCATGCGAACCACATCCCCTCATTTGATCAGGTTCCCTGATAGAACGGCCCAAACCTTAAAGCCTGATCATGAAACTCTTTGGCTATAGGCCCTGCCCAGACCCAATATATCACGCAGTTGGAGTTTATTTCTCTGGAATTATGGTTTGTTTGGTTGGGGTTTTTTAGCAAACGTTATTGAAACATGGTGAATATTTATCAAAAGCTTAGCTGTGAGTACCGATGTATATGAAAAAGATCACAGGACAGGAAGTTCACCCATCCCTATAGAACATTGTTTCCTTTTTTTAAAATAGCTTCATTGAGGTATAATTGGCATGCAATGAACTGCGCATATTTAAAGTATATGATTTGATAAGTTCTATCATATGTATACACTCATGAAACATGGTGTATAATCTGCAAAATCTCATGCACCTTCATTATCTCCCCCCTCCTGTCCACTCCTTACATCCCCTGTCCCTGGCCCCAGGCAACCATTGATCTGCTTTCTGTCACTAGAGATTAGTTTGCATTTTCCAGAATTTTATATAATGGAATACAGTATATACTCTTTTTTTAATCTATGTTCTTTTACTTGACATAATTATTTTGAGATTCATCTATGCTGTTGCGTGTATCATTGTTTCTTGTTACTGCTGAGTAGTATTCCAACGTGCAGACATACTACAGTTTGTTTATCCATTCACCTGCTGACGGACATTTGGGTTTGTTCCCCATTTGGGGCTATTAGAAATAAAACTGCTTTGAACATTTTATGTGCACGTCTTTGTCTAGACATATGCTTTCATTTCTCTTCGATAAAAACCTAAGAGTAGAATGGCTGGATCATATGGTAGGTGTATGTTTAACTTTCTAAGAAATTGCCAGACTGTTTTCCAACGTGGCTGTGCCGTATTCAGTTCCCATCAGCAGGATATGAGAGTCCTTTTCCCCCACATCCTCACCAGCGTTGAACTTGGCTGGTCTTTTTCATTTTAGCCATTCTAATAGGTATGTATAGAAGTATTTCACTGTGTTTTAATTTGCATTTCTCAGATGCAGTGTTGAGCATCTTTTCATGTGCTTGTGTGCCATCCATATATCTTCTTTGGTGAAGTATCTGCTCAAATCTCTCACCTGGTTTTTTTATTAGTTGTTTATTTTCTCATTGTTGCATTGGTTTTTTGTTTGTTTGTTTGTTTGAAGAAGATTAGCCCGGAGCTAACATCTGCTGCCAATCTTCCTCTTTTTGCTGAGGAAGACTGGCCCTGAGCTAACATCTGTGCCCATCTTCCTCTACTTTATATGTGGGACACCTACCACAGCATGGCTTAGCTGAGCAGTGCCATGTCTGCACCCAGGATCCAAACCAGCAAACCCCAGGCCGCCAAAGTGGAACATGCAAACTTAACCCCTGTGCCACAGGGCCGGCCCCTATTGTTGCGTTTTGAGAGTTCTTTTTATAGCCTTGATGCAAGTTCTTTATCAGACTTATGATTTGCAAAGATTTTCTTCCAGATTGTGGCTTTTCTTTTCATTTGTTAAGAGTGTCTCTCAAAGAGATTTTTCTAATTTTGATGATGTCCAATTTACCACTTTGTTCTTTTATGGATCATGTTTTTGGTGTCAGATATAAGAAACTTTTGCATAATCCAAAGCCCCAAAAACACAGGCTTTCTCCTGTGTTGACTTCTAGAAGTTTTATGAGTTTTTGTTTTTACATTTCAGCCCATAATCCATTTGGAGTTCATTTTGAAATATAGTGTGATGTATGCATCAAAGTTCATTTTTTAATGTCTGGATATCCAATTGTTCCAGCACCATTTCTTGAAAAGACTATTCTTTCTTCACTGAATTACCTTTGAACTTTTGTTGAAAATTATTTGTCCATAGATGTGTGAATCTGTTCCTAGACTCTTCTCTGTCTCATTGATAAAGTTGTTTATTTTGACATAAATGCCATATTATCTTGATTACTGTAGCTTTATATTAAAATCTTGAATCAGGAAGTACTAATTCTCCCACTCTGTTCTCTTTCAATGTTGTTTTGGCTAATCTAGGTCCTTTGAATTTCCATATGAATTTTTGAATCAGTTTGCCAATTTCTACAAAAATCCCACCCGGATTTTGATTGAGAATGTGTTGAATCTATGGATCAAATTGTAAAGAATTCACTTCTTAACAACGTTGTGTCTTTTAACCCATGAACACAGTATATTTATCCATTTATTTAGGTCTTTAATTTCTCTCAGCAATTTTTTTTTGTAGTTTTCAGTAGAGGTCTTTCACATCTTTTATTACAATTTGTAAGTATTTAATTTTTTTATGCTATTATACATATTATTGTTTTTTATTTCACTTTCTGGTTTTTGTTGCTAATATATAGAAATACAATTGATTTTTTGTATGCTGATCTTCTATGCTGCAACCTTGCTAAACTGCTTATTAGTTATAGTACCTTTTTTGTAGATTCCAGCAGATTTTCTACACAGATGATCATATCATCTGTGAATAAAGACAGTTTCTTTCCAACCTCTTGTATGATAGCACTGGATAGAAACGAAAGTACAACGTTCAATAGAAGTGCTGAGAACAGACATTCTTGAGCTGCTCTTAATCTTATAAGGCAAGCACTAAGTCTTTTAAAACTAATTATGATGTTAGCTGCAGTTTTATTGTAGCTGCTCTTTATTTAGTTGAGGAAGTTCCCTTCTATTCCTGTTTTGCTGAGAGTTTTTATAAAGAATTTATGTTGGATTTTGTCAATGCTTTTTCTGTGTCTGTTGACATGATCATATGGGGTTTTTAAAAAAATTTGTTCATGTGGTGGATTACATTAAATGATTTTAGGATCTCAAACCAACCTTGCATTCCTGAGATAAATTCTGCTTGGTCATGATGTATCATCCTCTTCTTATATTGTTGGATTTATTTTCTTAAAATTTTGTCTATAATGTGTATATTTATGTTCTTAAGAGATATACTCTGTTGTTTTCTTTTCTTGTAAAATCTTTTTCTTGGTAATGCTGGCCTTATAGAAGAAATTAGGACGTATTCCCTCTTCTTCAATTTCTGGAAGAGTTTGTGTATAATTGGCTTTCACATAGTGTAAGTACCTTACAATAGTATGCTTCCATTTCTCTCCTTCCTGATCTCTATATTATTGTTTTCACTTTTACGTATGTTAAAAGCCCCACACAATTGTATTATTTTTGTTTAAACAATTGGTTATCTTTTTAATTTTTTCCCATGTAATTGTTTTATTTTTTATTCTTTTTTTGAGGTATAATTGACATATAACATTAGTTTCAGATGTACATCATAATGATTCAATATTTGTATATATTGTGAAATGATCACCACAATAAGCCTAGTTAACGTCCATCCCCATATAATTATAAAATTTTTTTCTTGCGATGAGGACTTTTAAGACCTTCTCTCTTAGCAACTTTCAAATATGCAGTACAGTATTATTAACTATAGTTGCCATGCTGTACATTATATTCCCATGACTTGTTGATTTTATAACTGGAAGTTTGTACCTCTTGACCTCCTTCACTCATTTCACCACCCCTCACCCCAACCTCTGGCAACTACCAGTCTGTTCTCTGTATCTATGAGCTTGGTTTTAGTTTTCTGTTTTTTTAGATTCCACATATAAGTGAGATCAATATTTGTCAATATTTGTCTTTCTCTGTCTGACTTATTTCACTTAACATAATGCCCTCAAGGTCCATCCATGTTGTCACAAATGGCAAGATCTCATTCTTTTTTATGGCTGAATAGTATTTCATTGTGTGTGTCTATATATGTGTGTGTATGTATACATCTTCTTTATGCATTCATCCATCAATAGACACTTAGGTTATTTCCATATCTTGGCTATTGTAAATAATGCAGCGGTGAACATGGGGGTGCATGTATCTTTTCAAATTAATGTTTTCATTTATTTGGATAAATGCCCAGAAGTGGAATTGCTGATTCATATGGTAGTTCTATTGTTAATTTTTTCAGGAACATCCATACTGTTTTCCATAGTGGCTGCACCAATTTACATTCCCACCACCAGTGAACAAGGGTTCCCTTTTCTCTACATCCTCACTGGCACTTGTTATTTCTTGACTTTTTGAAGCAGCCATTCTAACAGGCATGAAGTGATATCTCATTGTGGTTTTGATTTGCATTTCTCTGATGAGTAATGATCTTCAGCATCTTTTCATGTACCTGTTGGCCATCTATATGTCTTCTTTGGAAAAATGTCTATTCAGATCCTCTGCCCGTCTTTTAATTTGGTTATTTGGTTCTCTGCTATTGAGTTTTATGAGTTCTTTATATATTTTATATATTAACCGTTTATCAGATATGTGATTTGCAAATATTTTCTCCCATTCAGTAGGTTGCCTTTTCATTTTGTTGATGATTTCCTTTGCTATGCAGAAGCTTTTCAGTTTGATGTAGTGCCACTTGTTTATTTAAACAATTATTAATTGTTAAACAATTGTTAAACAATTAAACAATATCTTTTAAAGATATTTAAAAATAAAAATCCACTTTATATTTGTCCATGAAGTTAACATTTCCAGAGCTCTTTATTTCCTTGTATAGGGCCATATTTTCATTTGGTGTCATCTTCCTTTTACCTGAAGGATATCTAACATTCTCATGCAGGTGTGCTAGTGCTGAATTCTTTTGGCTTTTATTTATCTGAAAAAGTCTTTATTTCACCTTTGTTTTTGAAAGATGTTTTTGCTGGATGGAGCATTCTAGGTTGAGGTTTTCTTTTTCACTTTTACTACTTTGAAAATTTTCTTCTGCTGTCTTCTCACTTGGTCTTGTAGCTGATGAGAAATCTGATAGCTTCCTTATCTTTGTTCCTCTATACATAATGTGGGTTTTTTGCTTGTTGCTTTGAAGATTTTCTCTTTATCACTAATTTTGAGCAGTTTGATTAAGCAACTGATTTCTTTTTATCTTACAAACACCATGAATCGTGTAACTGGTTGTGCTTCCTTCTTTTTCATTGATTGACAAAAACTCAGTTCCACATTTCTGCCCCAATTCATGAATGCTGTATACTCTCCTCACCTGAGCCTTCATCATAATTCTGTTTATCTTCTCTTTTCCCTATTTTCAATTTTTCATCCTGTTGCAGTATATATATTTTCTTAATTTTATTTTTATAGTCACAAAAGTAACACATGGTCTTTGTATTAAGTTAAATAATTCATATATACATAAAGACAGTGCTAGTAATCTCCCTTCTCTACCACCCGCCTTGCTCAATCTCACCCTCCAGGTTAATGATTGTTAACAGTTTTTTTGGAAAACTTCCACATCTCTCTGTGTACTCTTGTAAACATATCTGTAAATAATAATGTATTTATTTTATTAAATCCCTTGAATCCTTTATGGGAAAAGGCAGGATGTGGAAAAGAAAGGTAAATCAGAAATGTTTAATGGTGATAATGATGATATGGATATAGAAATTTTTGTAAATATTTAGTACCTGTTTCATCTTTGAAGGCTGGATTTGAAGCTCCTTGGGAGGGCCAACTCCGAAGCTTATAGTCCAGAACACATAGGACACTCTAGCTTCTGTGTCACACAGCCAACAAGCTAAGGAAAATTATGACCTTGGCTCTTTTACAGATAATCAAAGACCTGCAGCTGCTGGGGTTGGTGGCAGCCCTGGTAATGACTGATGTGATCCTGCTGATGACGTGGGTACTGACTGATCCCATCCAGTGCCTCCAGATTCTTGGTGTCAGTATGACGGTAAGGGGTCCAGTCCCTGGAGGATTTAATTCCTGAACTGGGGGGACTGGCTTCTGTGGGTACACAGGGATCATCCTCCCAGTAGCATTCGCTGTGTGGTTGTCCTCCCAAGGAGAAGATAAATGACCCAAAGAGGAGGGAGAGCCAGGAGCTGAGGCTGTCGTGAATGCCTTGCCCCAGGTCTGCAGGGAGGCCTACCATGCCCACCGCTCCTCCCAGTGGGAGGCATCTACTCCAGACACTGGAGTCGGCCTGGCAGTTCTCTCTGCTTCCACAATATCGATAATGAGAACTTTCACCTACAGGAAGTTGCCTTCCTCTAGTTGTTGGGGTGAAAGTAGCATTGTGAGGTGGTCTTTGGAGTCAGTCAACCCTGGTTCAGATCCCTCAGCTCTAGCACATACCAGCCATGTTTCCTTGGGAAAGTCATTAACCTCTCTAAGTCTGTATTTCCTCGTAGGTAAAATCAAGATAATAATACTACCTATTTCTTAGGGCTCTGGTGAAGATTAAGTGAAACAATACAGGTGAAGAACTCAGTTGTGCCCAGGACATAGAGTGTTCAATTAATAGAAAGTATTATATGTCTCCAGCCTCACGAGGGCCTGAGGAATACAGTGGAATCTTGACGTTGCAGATTTAAAATTTAAGGTTTCAACTGTTAACAAATAGCAGGAACGTGATGTGAAATAATTTGTAGTTTTGCTAGCCCACCAGTTGGAATCATTGTGGTGGCAAAGCAGATGACAGAGTGGTAAGCCCTACAGCTGCCAAGCATCCACATGTCAGCCCAACTTCATTGTCTTTTCCTCCAACTCATAGTCACTCTCATTGGGATTCTAATGGAGTCAACTAAATTTTATAGTTTTTATGTACTGAGGGGAAAATTCTGTGCTGTAGAGGAGTTCACCTCCAGGATGTTCACAAAGATCTGCTGTGTGTTCCTGGCAATTGTGGATGTCCTAGGTCCTGACTCTGTGTCCCTCATAGGTGACAGGGAGAGACGTGTCCTGCTCTCTGACCAGCACACACTTCTGTGCTTCCCGATACTCCGATGTCTGGATTGCTCTCGTTTTGGGATGCAAGGTTGGTAAACACATCTCCTTGGGATACAATCCATCTCTCACCAACAGAGTGGATATGAAGTGGGAATTACGGAAATCAACGAGGTGATTTCTGCAAAGAATCTTGAAACCAGAGGAGTCCTGTTGATGCGTAAATCTAAGAGCCTTGACCCTTGTTATTTCTCTACTTTTAATTTGTTTTGGGGGTCACTTTTCCAACTCTTCATTCAGTCTTCCCCCAAATCGTGTGGAATTCACCCACGGTTTCTCCCATACTTTGGTCTGGTTTTTTAATCGATTTGGCCTTACCAGTTTTTTCCCCAATTCCTGCAGGGGAATTATAAAGAGATATTCTCTCCAGCTTAATCTATTCTCTTAAATGCCCTTTTCCCCCCCTCTGTGTATTTCTCCAAGGCTGGGTCCAGAATCCTACTGCCTTTCACCCACTAACTTTCTCACTGTGGTTGGAGGCGAGCTGGCCCTAAGACAGAGGACAACAGCCATGGCGTCCTTGGAGTGATTCCAGCTGCCTCAGAGTGTCTCCCATCCTGCCCTGAATCTCCTATCATTAGACATTTGTCTGTGTTGAATGACAAAAGTAGGATATTATTTCCAGAGGGTACCAGATACCTATCCAGGACACTGAGGGAGTCTTTAGAACCCACTGTCCTGTCAGCTGGTTTTCAGCTTGGAGGGACAGAGACTCTGGCTTGGGGGAGCATAGGGCAGGCCTCTTTCAATGAACAGGGTAAGCCCTGCCTAGCAGGAGCCTGCCTGTTGACTCTCAGGACCCAGAGGCCTGGTTGACTGCTGGCAGAGGAGGAGTTTTTGTAGAAACATGTGGTCTTTAAAGGTAAACTTTACTCATTTCACCACTGGGAAAGTGTTCAAGTGGTTGCTTCTGAGAAATAGCCCTGGGGGTGGGCAGGGCTGGGACAGGAAATGTTGCTTTTCAACTATGTACATCTATTACTTTGATAGAAATATTTTTAAAAGAAGACACTAGGAGATGAACAGCTCTTGATGTCCAGTTTCTTGCTAATGGTTAAAAAGTGAGCTTCAGAAATGACAGAACAGGGTTTGAATTCTGACTCAGTCCCTTCCTAGCTGACCCGGAACCTCATTTAACCTCTCTGAGCCTCAGTTCCTTCAGACGTAAAATGAAGATGATGATGATACCCTCTCAGAACCAGTCAGTTTCAAAAGAGTTAGTGCACATTAAGAGTTTTCAACCACTCCCGGCCCATCATCAGAGCTCAATAAATGTTAGATATTATTGTTATTCATCTTCTGCTGCCCCTGGGACAGTTCTGATAAATGCTGTGCCTCCCCTGGTTCCTCAAGTCCCTGTAAAGAGCACGTCCTCCCCAGCACAGGGACTCGGCACTTCCCCCATAGCAACTCACTTTGCGACTCAACTTGATTTATTTTCTCCATTGCCTTTTGTATAATCCCATTTCCGTTTTATTTCACTGTAATATCTTTCCGTAAGACGAAGGAAATAAAAGGGAAAAAGAATGCTGAGCGTCAGGAAACCGACTAAGCTGGACCCCATGGGCTCCCTGGTCCATGAGCAGTTCCTGGGGGGACCCAAATCTCCACGTTAAGTTCCAGGACCCCCTACCTGAGCCTGTCAGCCGCCCCCACCCCACACCTAGCCGTGGTGGCGAATGACGTACAAGCGACATACAAGCATTGGATGTGATTCACTGAAACACAAGTGGGGATATATAGAAGCTTTATTCCTACCTAGTTCTCTTTTGGCAAGAATTTTAATGGAATTAAACATTTTAATAAAATCAGAGTTGAACATTTCAAAACCGTAGCATTAATTTCATTCACCCTTGGTTGAATTACTAATGATCCAGCCCTGTCAAATGCCACCTGATGGCGTCAGTTCCCCAAAAGTCAGGTCCCACTGGTCTCCTGACTTGTGTGTCTTCTAGTCTTTGGAGATCTCCGAGTGGCCTCGTTTGGCCCTCAGGCCTCTTTTTGGACCCCGGGCATTAGGGGCATCCAGGAGGCATCTCTGCCATGTTGGCTCCTTCACTGTCGGCACAGCCAGTCCTCCAGAAAATCATCCTTAGGGCCGTCCCTGCAGGTGGGGATGGTCAGACTGTATGATTTCAGGGTCACTGGCAGGTTATCGTTAGTTATTATTATTATTTCTCCCTTGGAATCCCCATGGTTCCCATCCCCACCTCACCCTCATGACATCTTCACCTTCTGGTTATAAAACATTTACATTTGTGTGCTTGCCTTAAATCTCCCTACCAGACTGAGCTCCTTGAAAGGCAGGAGGATGACTTATTCCTCTTTGTAGCACTGTAGCTGTACACCGAGCATGACACTTTGCACAGTCAGGCGAACATATGTTGAATCTATCCAGTATTATGCATTATTGATTAAAACTTTGATTTCTGTTTAAATGCAGCTCCTTCTAGGAGAGATAGCACTTTAAGGTGCTGTGGATGATTTTCTCCTTAGTACAAATGAGAAATCTGAGCACAGGTTTATGTTCATGGGAAAGAATAGGACCCTGGGTTCCTGGTGCTGGGGGCGGGGAACGTCCCAAAGAGGGTGACGGGTATAGATGGAGCCTCTGCTGCCTGTGCCTGCCTCGCAGTCTTGTCTAGGCCCCAGCCTGCCTTTGTTCTCCTCTGTTTCCACGCTGCATCTCCCATAAACACCCACTGGCACAGAGCCGCTGCTGGCCTATAGAGCTCCTTTGTGTAAATTAGAAAAAGGCATCGCTTCTAGGCAGATGCAGCCTTGCAGGTGCAGGGCTTGGCAAGCAGATGGTGCCTTTGGGAAAATTAGAAAAAAGAGCCCCTTCCTCGGGGCACTGCCCCTGCCGCGGCACATGGCTTGACAAGCAGACCCCAGGGCTGTTTCAGCTTCCACATGCCCCTTAGCTTCTTGCAGTGCAAAACCCCACAGGGACGTGGCAGCCCTCACCGCCAGCTGCACAATACGCCCACTGCCCTCCCAGTGCCCGGCAGCCCACTGACGCCATCCTGTCATGCCTTGTCCAGGCAGAGTCCTCTCTGATGGCTGACTTGCTGACCTCTGATAAACTAATTTTCAGTGAAGGAGAGGAAAAGAAAAGTTTATTAAGCACCTACTAGGTTAAGGGGCCACCCTGAGGGTCTTCCCATGTGCTATCTTAGTAAATCCTCATGGCAACCCTGTAAGGGCCATATTTTTGAGGAAGTTGGTCCCAGCCCTGCTGCTCTTTGACCCCAGCCTGTTGTTCCACTTCTCTGAGCCTCTGGTTCTCCTCTTCGCCTCCAGGGTCTGCTGCTGCTGTATGGTGCCTACCTGGCTGGCCTGACGGACCACGTCAGCTCTCCTCCTGTGAATCAGTCTTTAACCATCATGGTTGGGGTCAACCTCGTGGTGCTGGCTGCTGGGCTTCTTTTTGTGGTCACCAGATACTTGCACTCCTGGCCCAACCTGGTCTTTGGACTCACGTGTGGAGGCATCTTTGTTTGCACAACCACAATCAACTGCTTCATCTTTGTCCCCCAGGTATGCTCTAGGGAGGATGGGCAGTCCTGCTAGTCACTCCAGAGGCTCTGCTGGGCATGATAAATTTCTCACTTTGTCTCCCACTGAGACTTTTGGGTACCATTTATTGGAGAGTCAGAAGGAAGGCAGGGTTCCCAGTGAGCTGGCTCCCTCTGTTCTCCCCTACTCGCCATCCTGAAGAAGGACAGCTCTGCTCCTGGTCAGCAAGGAGGGCAGGCCAGCGTGGCCGAGCAGTGACGGCAGCCTGTTTCCACCCCTGGGGAGCTGCCTCACAGACCTGCTTTTCCACCCACCCTCCAGTCTGTCTCACTCATCCCCAGTCCCCGCTTCATCCTGATAATGTCGTTTCCTTCACTCGCCTGGACACGAGGAACCTTTCCTTCTTTCCTATTTGGGATTGCAGATATACAGGGCAAAACTCATTTGGAATTTTATACAATTTAAAATGCTGTTCCTTTCTTTTTCTTAGAGGAAAATGTAGAACATTCTTTTTCTTTTTACAATAAGGAGAAATAAAAACTAAATAAAAATGTGTTTTATATCATGGGGATTAAGAACAAATCAAATAAGAGAGAAAGATAGAAGCAGAAAAGTCCAGACAGCAGAGAGAAAGAAAGGGAGTTCGAGGGAAAGGGGAAGGAATCCACAGGCTCTGAAAGGATGGTGATGTGAAATTATTCCTCTTATGCCCGTGGGTAGCACTGAGCCACGTGGGGCTGAGTTAATGAACTTGGCATTAAGCACTTTCCCTGTCTCCCTTCTAGTTCTCTTTTTCCTCCCCCTGATGCCTCCCTCGTGTCACGACTCTCTCCAGACCCCATCCTGATTCCCATGGCAGCTTCCGGTTGACTGTGAATGGCTTCTCCATGAGGGTGCTAACCAATCATTAAAGTGTTGGCAGATGGAAGGTTACGATGTATTTATAACAGGGAAGGGTGCCCTCTGGGGCATGATGGTGTGACAGAGTCACAGGCCCTTTACTCTTCTTCCCTTTCATAAATTCTCATTAAAATATTCAACAGAATAAACAAACATGGAAAATCTGTAGCAGCAGTACTAAAAACCAAGGATAGGTATTGCCTCTGTGCCAGAAAGTAGGGGAATTTTTGCTAAATCTTAATGTTATGAGAACTAGATTGAAGGAGGCCATCGACAGTTGAGGCTTCTTGCCTGGGATGTAGCAGAAACAGGCTATGAGAAGCAAGGTCTGTTCCTCCTGGGAGATGGGGAAAGGGGGTTGGGGAGGGGCCTTTTGGGAAGCCCACCCCTTAGGCTTGTGTCCAACATTGTTGATTGGTAACCCAGCCACTCATTGCCAACTCCTTTCTTCCTTGCTCACCTCCTCTATATAGGCTGAAGTTGCTTAACACTTGCTTTGCCAGCCTCCCTTATAGCTGGGGGTGCCCATGCAACACAGTTCTCAGCACTAAAGGTTTTCTCAGAGGCTTCTGAGAAAGCTTTTGCTTTCCTGAAAAAGCTATAGGTGTGGCTGGCATGACTTCTACTTTCTTCCTACCTTGAATGTTTGTGATGCCCGGAGCTATGGCAGCCATTTTGCCAAGAGAGTGTATTTACTATAGTAGGAAACTAGAGCTCGTCCCATATGACACTATAAATTCAGGGGGAAAGGACCTGTGAAGAGATTCTGCAGTTCACAAGAAGAGGAGCACAAGTTTCTGAAGATCTGGAGAAGCTGCCTTCCTCTGAAGTAAAATAGAGAACACAGCTAATTTGTCTTGTCAGTGACTTAAAGGATATTGCCTCTCTTTAACTAAAGCAAGCCATCATGAAAGGGACAGAATCTTGGATCATGAAATATGGAATAAGGATGAAAAATATTGTGTTGAATTTAAAACCCCAGTAGAAGCATTGAATAGGCATTTGGACATGGCAAAATACTGAATTACTGAATTAATTTTAGGAAATGGGAAACAAGGAGACAGATAAAAAATGAGAGACTAGATAAGAAAACATGGAGAACACACCTAGGGATGCAATTTGGAGCTGAAAGACAACAAAATAATTTGAGGCTGAAGTAATCACCAAGGAACAAGTAGAGGAGAGCCTTCCTGATCTCAAACAAGACCGCCATTGGAAAATTGAGTGAATCAGCAACCTCCATGATGTGGCCCTGCTTATGTCTCCTCTCTCCACACTCACCTCTGTCCCTCTTGCATCCTAAGCCTCAGACACAAGACTTCTACTCTCCTTGGTGTTTGAATCCTCAGCCCTAGGACAGTACTGATATCTAGGTACACACCCGTCTATACACAGCCATAAAATACAGGAGGAAGTTCCCCTTGAAATCTGACTCCCTGGTTTGAACTAAGCAACAAGCTCTTGATTTGTTGAGGTGGAGCAGAAACGGAATTTTTAGGGCCTGTGGTGGGAGGGGTTTAAGAAAGCAAAGGCACAGATGCCTTAAGGGCAGCTAGGCGGCGCTAGAGAGCTGGGTGGAATGGATGACGTTACTCAAGAGGCCAGTGGACCAAGTAGCATTCTACACAGGCCCTCAGCAGATGCCTGAGTGTTTCTGCCAAACACTGAGGTCATCACCAGCAATGAGCCAGCCTCTGCTTTTGTGACCTGATGTGACCCATCCCCACACCCTCCTCCCCCTTCCCTCCCTCCACCTCTGAGAGGCAGGTGGGTCCTGAGGAGAACATTGTTTTCTCCTCTAAATCCCCAGTGTTTCATCTGCTCCTCCATGAAGGTCCTTACGACCTTCTACTCTGCCTTTTAGTTATGTATATATGTCCCAGTGTCCCTACTGGACAGATGAGCTTTTTAAAGGAAAGCTGCCTTCATTTGTTCATGTGTCCATCCATCCATTTATTCACGTCTGGGAATGTGCAGTTAACACATGGCTCCACCTCTAGGTTCAGTTGGGAACAAACATGAAAGGAATTATAAACTTGTGTTAAGTATTTGAGGAAGGCATGTTACATGATGCTGAGGAAGGCGTGCCCCAACCTGACAGGGAACTTGATGATGCCTTCTCAGAAAATGGGGTATTTGGGCCCAGTCTTGAAGGAGGAGTAAGAGTTGATTGAGCAAGTTGGGAAAGTGCAGTGGGTGGCATTTCGGATGAGGGAGCTCCATGGCCAGAGGCAGAGGAATGTGACAGAGAATGCAGTATATTTGGAGCACAGAAGTCTTTGCTCTTTTTGAAGCACAAATTGAAACAAGGGGAGTGTGGCAGGAGGTAAGAGAGACCCATAGGGTGAACTTCTGAAGGCCCTGCTGTATCCTGTGAAGGATTTGGGATTTAATCCCCCGTATGAGTCTCCTATTGCTGCTGTAGCAAATTACCACAAAATTAGTGGTTTAAAACAATACACATTTATTATCTCATAGTTCTGGAGGTCAGAAATCTGAAATGGGTCTTATTTGTCTAAAATCAAGGCATCAGTAGGTCTGCATTCCTTCTGGAAGCTCTAGGGGAAAATTCGTTCCCACTCTTTTTCCAGCTTCTAGAGGCCACCTGCATTCTTTGACTCGTGGCCCCTTCCTCCATCTTCAGAGACAGCAGTGTGGCATCTTCAAATCTCTCTTTCTGACCTCCATTTCCATTGTCACATCTCCTTTTCTAACCCTGACGCTCCAGCGTCCCTCTTATACTCTTGTGATTACATTGGACCCACCTGGATAATCCAGCATCCTCTCCCCACGGCAGAATCCTTAACTCAACCACATTTACAAAATCTCTTTTGCCGTGTAAGGTAACGTATTCATAAGTTCCAGGGGTTAGGAGGGGAACATCTTTGGGGAGCCATTATTCAGCCTGCTACACCCACATAGCCCAGAGGCTGAGAAAACAAGAATATGCCTGTCCTTCTGGAGGAAGGGCCATGGAGAGGTCCTGACTTGGTGATGTGAGGGTCATTTATAGCCATCTTCCAGAAAGCCTGAAGGGTCAAGTCTTAAGGACCAGGATCTTCACAAATGGGGATCTATGCGGGGAAGGAGATTTAGTGACGGGGCACCACCTGGCTCCGCCCGGCCCGCTGAGGGTGAGACAGATCAGCAGCCCTGGAGGTGCCCTTTGCACCAGGGTCGAGTAGTTCCTCCAGCACCCCTGCAGAGACGGCTCGGACCGGGGGCTCCAGGAGAGAAAGGAAAAGCTCTACTGCTAAGGAAATGAGGGGGCCCCGAAGGGAGCAGAGGTTCTGCCACACTGCCAGGGTCAGTGGTGGGAGAATAACACCGGAAGGTCTCCTCCCTCCGCCCAAGGCCATAGAGTGGCCCTGCAGTGCCAGGCTCCAATAACTCCTGAGTAGGGCGGTGAGCGGACAGTACCCTAGGGAGAGGGCCTTCGAGAAGGGCGTCTGAGACCTGGCTTGACCTAGCACAGCTCACACAGACTCCCAATACCACAGACGACTCATGCTGAGTCAACAGAGGACCTGAGAGGACTTGGGTGAGACTGTGGTGTTGAAATTGATGGCAGGATTTAGAATCCTGTCTGAGATTCACCAAGTTTGGGTTACACTCCATAGTCAAAGCTTAATGGATGTTTGAGGAGTGAGCAAAGAAATCCCAGGATCCCTGTGAGGCTCTCCCCAGACACCTCAGCAGCATTTCTCTAGAGCTGAGGCGCCAGAGGGCACATCACGGGACTCTTTTTTTTTCTTTTTTAAAGATTTTAGTTTTCCTGTTTCTCCCCAAAGCCCCCTGGTACATAGTTGTGTATTTTTAGTTGTGGGTCCTTCCAGTTGTGGTATGTGGGACACCACCTCAGCATGGCTGGATGAGCAGTGCCACTTCTGCGCCCGGGATCTGAACCAGCAAAACCCTGGGTCGCCGAAGCGGAGCGCGCGAACCCAACCACACGGCCACGGGGCCGGCCCCACTAGGACTCTTAATTATGAGAATTTCTGAGGGAAAAAGAGAAGCCTCCGGCACTGTGGCCTCCCTGGCATTCACGTCATTGGCGCTCACCACATAGAGACAGTGTCCCAAAGGCTCAGGAGCATGCCCTTTTTGTGAATGTCTTACGTTCAGGTCCATCCCTGTTCAACTAAACCAGCCCGTGCTTCCACAGATTGTTCCTCAAAACCAGTTTCTCCTGAAAAGCTTTCCCTAGGACCCCCACAGCCAACAGCCTCTCTCCTTGTCAGCCGCACGAGGACATGCAGTGTGGCACAGTGCCCTGCTCACAGCTGCGGCCCTGCTGCTAACCGCTGTGTGGCCTAGACGAGTCGTACTCCTCCTGAGCCTTTCCTCATTCGTCAGGAAAAAGGACGGTCAGATCTCAGACTGAGTGTCGTATCATTTGTATTGACAATCGCGGTTTCCTCTCTGTCTGAGTCTTGATCACACTGGTTGGGGTCAGAAGTGCCCCAGCAAGGAGCTGGGTTTTCAGTAGCAGTAAGCACACCATTACTCAACAAATGAGAATAATTAAGAACAGCTACGTGCAACTAAAAGGAGTTTCATTGGAATCATCCTGTACAGGGTTTAGATTACTTAACCCTGTGATAGCTCCTAAACTCTTGCTTGCGAACGTGTCTCTGGAAATATCCGTCAACGCTGGTTTTCTTTCACCAGGCCAGCAACGGGTGGGTGGATGGGTCAAGCTAAGATTGTTCTATTTCATCTACCTGTCATCTTCTTCCTTTGCCATTTTTTAAACTACAGAAGCTTGACATTCTCTATCCGTTCTGTCCTTACTCTCTATGGAACTTTCCAGAGTAAAGTACATTTTAAGGAAAGAATAGTTTGTACATAAGTGTGTCTGTGACACTGTCATTCCTTGATGTTTTTGAGGAAGAGTGAGAGAATGTGGTTTTGGGTGTGTAATTAAATGAATAACATGTGTTCTTTTATCTAACAGCTGAAGCAATGGAAGGCATTTGAAGAGGAAAACCAAACAATTAATCGCATGGCCAAATATTTCAGCACTCCCAGCAAGGGCTTCCATACCCAGTATGGAGAGGAGCAGAATTGCCACGCGAGAGGAGAGAAAGACTCCATGGAAGAACTCCTCACAGAAGTAAGCAAGACCCTGCCTGGATCCTCTGTAAAGAAGAACTCCAGTCACGCACTGGTGGGCCCCAGATGTCTCATTGCTAGCATTCTTTCTTCCCCTCCCGTTCCTCCCCTCCCACTCCGTTAGCAGCAAGCAAAACCTCCACATCTCCCCAGTGACCCTCCACAGCTCACTCTCACCCACTTCATTCATTCACTGAGCAGTTGTGTGTCAGGCATTGTGCTAAGTGCTGATGAACAAAACAAATACAGTCCCTGCCCTCATGGAGCTCACAGCCTAGTGGAGGAAATAGATATGATCAAGTAAACATATAATTATAAATTGTGATAAGAATTATGAAGGAAGAAATCAGAGTGGTAAGAGAGCACAATGGGTGGCAAGGGCAAGGGAATCTAATTTAGAGTGCTCAGAAAAGACTGAGCTAAGAGCTGAAGGTTAAGTACAAGTTGGCCAGGCAAAGAGTGCAGGGAAAAGCATTCCAAGCAGGGGGAACAGCATTGTAAAGGCCCTGAGAAGTGGTGGATGCTAGCTGCTTCTATATGATACACTCTTTCTTTACCCAGAGTAGTACCCTCATTTCCAAGATCTTATGGGCCCCTTACTGTCTTTCCCAGGTTCTAACTAGAAATCTCAATCAACCTACCAACTCCGAAAGTCAAGAAGTACTAAAGATGGAGAGGAGGGCTGAGTGGGGCCTCTGAATATAATAGCAGCACCAAGGGAGGACCAGGCCACCCCCAGCCCTTCTTTCTTCTGTTCTTGAGCCAGATTTGGCACCTCTCCCAGAACTGGGCAGTGCGATGTGGGCTTGAAGGAAGCACGTGGAAAAGCCTGAGGCTGCGCTGCCTCAGGAAGGAGGCACAGGGCCCAGAGGAATTAGTCAGTTTTTTCACACTCACTAAATTCTATTCCATATTTTTTTCAGGACAGAACAGACCTGAGTAGATGCTGTTTGGGAAACTATGCTTCTTTGTAATGGGACTGACACCTGGGTAGCAATAGTTTCTGTGTGAGAGGGTGGTGTGATGGGAACCCAAGAAACACAACCAAGGAGGGGACTAACCTCCCCAGACACCCACTGTCCGTGGCCCTCTAGTCTCTCACACATACCCTCACTTCTGGACCCTTTTTATCCATCACAGTAGTACTTCTTCCGTTTCTCTACTGTTTATAAAGCATCCAGGACCTTCTTCCAAAGCCAGATTTTTTCCCACCTGGCAAGGGAGTAGCATTGCCTTTGATACGCTGTGATGTCTTCAAAGAAGCATCTTTTTCAGCTGAACAGAAGGCCAGAAACTTGGCGAGAACAACCAGGATGGTTTTCATTCACAATCAGCTAATGTTGGAACAGCCAAGTGGCCTGACTCTTTAGCCTTATGGTAATTTGTGATGTGCTTTTTGTACTTCTGCCATGCTACCCCGTTTCCCACGCAGTGACGGCATCTGCTCCATCCAGAAAGAGGCCTTGAGTCTGCCGAGGAAGGGACCTAACAGGGAGCTGCATAGGCAGGAAAATGCCGGCCTTCTCCCGCAGCAGCCGACACCTGGAACATCTTTCCCAGAAAAGGCCTGAGGACCCGCAGCCGTCCCAGGGCCCCGTGGCAGGCCTCGGGAGCTTCCAGTATCTGAATCCCAGCTTCGGCACTGCCCGGTAGATAAACACCAGCATCTCCCCTACCTTCATAGCTGCATGGACCCGGACTCCGGCTTCTCGGTTGCAGTTCCCTCCCGCGCGGCCCCCTCGGCTGCCTGGTGTCCTCTTCTTACTTTCCCATGATCTGGGCAGTCCATCTTCTCGTTCTTGCCTCCCTTGCTGCTATGGCTGGGGATCCCCCAGAGGCTTTTGGGGGCAGCATCCATCAGTGACTTCCCAGGCTGTGTGAAGGCCGGCAGATCGAACCTCCCCCGAGCTTGAAGAACCTCCTTCTGCACACCACAGCGGAGGAAACTCCCCTCTGCGTTACTTTCCTTCCTTGAACTGTGCAAACAAGAGGGCGATTCCATTTCTCCTTGTGGCCTGCACCTCACAAAACACGCCTGTGGACGTTTCGTTTCCCCAAATGTGCCAAAAGTAATAATTAACAAGGTCATTTAAATGCAGCTGTCATGGGAGGTCAGATTTTGGTTTCACGCTGGCCGTGCCTCACGCCAGGCATGTCATTAGCATGTAGTCACGGCGAAAACAGTCTCACTTCCTTTTCGGAAAGAAGGGAAATTTACTGTTTAGGCTGACGTTTCTAAATCTGTCATCAGCCAGCTTCAGATCTTTGGTTTGCTGGGAGAAGAGTGTTCTTCCCAACTCAGTGTTTATCCTGTTTTCCTACACTCAAAGGAATTTGTGGATGAGGCACAAAAAGGCAGCACTCAGTATTCACTTGCTGGGGTGGTTGTCATTTGCTGGTGGCTTCCTCCTAACTCTGTGAGGCAGCAGAGGCCTCCTGAAGCCAGTGTGAGAGTGTGCAGGGTACGCTTCAGGAGGAGGGGCTGGAGAGGAGGAAAAGGGCTGGGGTCCCTCCTGTGCAGCCAGCACAGTCACCCCTATGGGATCCCCAAAGAGATACTGGGCACCACCCAGATATCGTGAAGAGCTGGGATGCATGCCTCCATGTTACTCAGTCCTCTGCCCCAGAGAGTCCTTGAGTCATCTCTGCGCCCCAGCAACGCCCAGACCTTACACTCTGCGGGTGAGGAAGAGCGGGGATGGGTGGGCCGGTGCTCAGCGGCAAGTCCCTTCTGCTGGTTCACTAGTAACTCAGTGGTCCTGGACTCTCTCCTGAGGATAAAAGAACTAGACAAAACCAGGATGAAACTGGGAGTACCAATAATCAGAAAAATCACCTTCCTGCTTATAAATCGGAAGCAGTGGATGTGCCTTGGAGTTGCTGCCAGAAGACTCGTGCTGGACTGGTTTACTCAAGTTACTGCTCACTTACAGGGTCACTTCTGGGCAACGCTCCCATATTACCTTGAAAAGAAACCGCAGGGTCAGTCCATAGGTGACTTGTATCAGGTATCCTGAAGATGGGAGACATCCTTTTATTTCTAGGGCATCGTAAATGGACATCCACATGCTCCTCCTCAGCTTCTAAAGAGGATGGCAACAAAGAGGCAGCATGCTGGTTTTCGGACAAGCGCTTCCTAGAACACGATGCTGTATTGTACCTTCCCAAACCATCGACTCCGTGCCATCTGCCCCGAGACCATCGGTTCCCCTCCCTGCCCCACTGCCTTTGAGCAGCAGAAATTTCAGAAGGTGGACATAAGGTCTGGGCTCGAGAATCAGCAGCTATATCACTGTATCAGCTGTATCAGAGGATGCTCAGGGCACACCCACCACCAATCAATCCTCCTCCGCCTTCATGCCCCATGATCTTGCAGTTAGAACAGGTACACCTCTGCACCTCTCATCTGCCTGCCCTCCCGGGCACAGCCTGTTTATCAGCTAACAGCCATGCAGCAGGTAGGCAGCTCAGTAGCAGAACTGCCCCTGCCTCATTCATCTTCTGGGCTCCAGTTCAGATCTCCTGAATCAAGCGATCAGGGACTTAGTGCCAACGACCCTATTTTTTTGGAAAAAAAAAAACAAAACTTCTCTAGTAATTCTGGTGCCTGTGCTTCTTTAGGAGATATTGACAGCTGATAGTGCCGCATGGTAGCTTCGGCCTCCCACCCCCGGATCCAGCTGAGGGAGGTGATAACACCAACCTGAGATTCTCGTTGGCCCCCCTCACTCCAGTCTTATCCCTTCAGCCCAGAAGTCTCCATCCTTCTCTCTTTTGTCCCCCATTTTCTAGTTTGTTTAGCAAGAGGCAAAATGCTTGTTTCCCCATTCATTCATCCCCTTGAGATGTGCCTCAGATTCATCTGTATTTTGCAAAAGTGTGATAAACCCAGAGTTGGGCCATCCCAAACTTTATTCAGCGTGGGGTCCTGTGGAGTGACCTGGCTCTGGCAGTTATGAGGGAAGGTGAGAGGGTGCTGTGGCAGCCAGCCTGCAGCCGTACGAGCCTCCTCTGACTTCCCTTCTCAGTGCCACACAGTCTGGGGACCTAGGTGGCAGGGACTAAGATCATCCCACAATAAATCATGGTTATCCTCTAGTGAGCGCCATGTGTCAGTTATTGTGCTACACGCTTTACTTGCATCAACTCATTTCACATCATGGAGGCACCTCCTTGGAGCCTAAGATCCCCAGTAGTACGCGGAGGAACGGGGAGTTAAACCAAAGTCTTCTGAGGCCACACTTTCTCCACCACGGGAGACAGTGTGAAAACCCTCAGCAGCATCTTTTATTAATGGTTTTGCTTTTATTTTACAGAAAAATGCTATGATTGAAAGTCTGCAGGAACAAGTCAACAACGCCAAAGAGAAGCTCATGAGGCTGATGTCAGCTGAGTGCACCTCTGACCTCCCAGAGTGGGCTGGCCCGCCTGCCTCTTCCCACAGCGAGGACATCCTGGCTGCGGCCTCCGCCCACAGCCAAGCAGCCCCAGGGCCTTCAGAATGCCTCTCTGACTCTCAGAATGATGCCAGTGTGGCCGCTCAGGACTCCCAGAGTACCTCAGTCCCCTCCTCCAGTGTGCAAAGCCTGGGGGGGCCTGGGAAGGAAGCCACCCCCGCCCCAGGGCAGGAGAACATTTCTTACTTGAAAGACTTTTCTGATCATTTAAATTTGGGCTGCAGCCAGAAGCCGCAGGCTGAGCAAAGCCAGGGTACAGAAAGAAGAGAGGGGGTGCCCATGGCCCCCCACTGGAGTCTCACACCAGCTAGGGAAGGTCCTGTTCCCCAGAGACAGGGACAGCTAGGGAACTTAGAGGAGCCCCAAGAGCGGCTGTCCAGAGTCAATTCAGTGATCAGGGAGAAGCTTCGGGAAGTCTTACAAGACCTGGGCCTGGGCCCCGAGGCTCCCCTCCCCTCTTCCGCATCTTGCCCCCAGCAGCCCTGGCAGAGCAGTGCTGCCCCCAGCCCCCAGAAGATGCCCCTCTCCAAGGAGCTGGGCTTCAGCCCATACATGGTGAGGAGAAGGCGGGCAGTACAGCGAGCTCGCTCATACTTCCTGGGCTCTGCACCCTCCTCTGCGGGGCATCTGGCAAATAGGACTGTTTCTGGGCCTCACAGTGGGCTAAATGTGCAGAAGGAGTCCAGCCCCTACCTGCACTCCCAGACTGCTCATTCCAGGATACCAAGACCCTCTTCCAGGAAGCCTTTACTCCTCCCAGATCCTCAAGGCAAGCCGGGCACCCTGGAGGGCAACAAACTAAGCCAGCCAGAGTGCCCAGGGGTGGGAGGGAGCCGTGTAGCCTTTCCACACCAGGCTTCTGGTTCCAGCCAGGCACCATGTCCCGTTCCCCCACACCTATCCAGAGCGTTACCAGACCTGCCTAAACAGTGGCAGCTGCAGCCCCCGGGGTCCCCAGGCTGTCCCTCCCTGTCTTCTCCGTGCAACTACCTTGACACCGAGTCCAGCAGCTCAGACGAGTTCTTCTGCCGCTGCCACCGGCCCTACTGTGAAATCTGTTTCGAGAGCTCCTCTGATTCCAGTGACAGTGGCTCGTCAGACACCGACCTTGAGCCTGCTGGCAGGCTGGCTTCCTGGGAAAAGCTGTGGGCCCGCTCGAAGCCTATCGTAAACTTCAAAGATGACTTGAAACCCACACTGGTGTGAAAAGCAGCAGAGCAGGCTGGATATAGAGGTCAGTCCAGGACAAGCCGTACCAAGGCCTGTGGCCTTCAGGGAACAGACTGGTGCCCTGCGTTTGACCAACCCTTACCGTGTTCCAGCTGTGCTCGCTTGAGCACTGTGTTGCCCTGAGCACTTCTTGACCTATCAACAGAGGGGTTTTGCCTGTCTTGTTACTACCTCACAGCATTCCTGTAAAAGACTCCAGTTGCATGACCATAAAAGATACCCTTTGGATAAAAGGTACTGAATGAGCACAGAGGGTTTTCTGTCCAGGTCAGCCTGTATTTTACGAAACTCTTAATGTATACCAGAGGGATGGCTAGGTGGACAGACAGATCGAGAGATGGAAGGAAAATTTCTGCAGAACCAGAGTTGCGCACTGTGCCCCATCAAACTGGCCTTTTGGTGGATTGACCTGCTAGAAAGATGAGTCTCCTACATCCTTGAGGGTCCCTCTCTTGGCACGGGGTGGTTTTGTTTCTGCTGAAGGTTGTAAACAGCATCACCCCTAGGTTCCAGCTTCTGGCCAGACTCAGCTCAGAGACACCTCAACACTACCATTTGGTGTTCGTGTCTTTCCACCTTTATGGCTCCTCGCCATCATCCCTGAGACTGTCGGATCTCCATGTGCCCACGGCCTACCCAGATCTCTCTCCTGGGCTCGATGACACTTGGGGCCCAGACTGTCTCCTGGTCCTGTGGCCCATCCCTTTGACTCTGCCAGCAGTGCCATTTTGTATTGTGGGGACACAGTCTCTGTTGGGGTAGGGAGGCCCTGTTGGTCAAGAGGTGCTTTTGGTGCCATTGGGGTTACATGACCACTGACGGCTACAAAAACCGGGAAATAGAAAATAAGGAACTAGAAAGGAAGAAATAGGGGAGAAGAAGGCAGGAAAGAAAACAGGTTTTTGAACATTTACTTGAATCTGGCATGGTACCTGGCAATGTTCAATCTCAGTAATTCCTTATGACAACCCTGTGAAGTGGACACTCTCTTTCCCACTTTTACAGATGGGGAGCATGAGGAATATGGGGAATGTGAGGGTTTGAGGACTGAGGTGACTTTCCCAACATCACGCTGCTAGCTAGTGGCCCGTGTAGGACTTGCCCACAGCTCCTGGGACTCCCAAGTTGGCAGACTTCCCTGGGGACACATTTCACTCCTTCTGGGAGGGGCAAGCAGGATTGGCAGACCAGCCAGTAGAGCAGGGGCAGTGTAAGAGAGCTGAGGGGCACTCAGCCTGCAGTCCAGGGTAACAAATCTGGGTTCCTTGCCTCCGGAAGCAGCCCTCCACTGCCTCACAGCCTCAGGGGCCCGCCCGCACCTCCCAGGGGAGCCAGGGAGGTGGGGAAGGATGAGTGACAGGACCTCATCTGCCGCCAGAGCCACAGGGAAAGCACAGCTGGGTCCACGTCACTTGTTGCTGAGCTGGTTGTTGTTTACAGGCCATCCCCTGCCACCTCCTCTGTGTGTGTGTCTGTGTGTGTACAGGTTTGTGTGCAGGAGTTTGGGCCTCATTAGATATGCTTGGAGGGGCCATTTGATTCCAAATGCCTCACAGAAGACTTATCATGGACTCTCGGGGGCTGCCGACACCTCATGAATCTCACACTGGACTGGGAGGCCCTCCCGGTAGCATAGCTTCTTCTATTGTTTAATTTTAAATGCAGATGTCGTAATTTATTCTGTGTGTGGGTTTTCAGTTTCTGCATGTGCTGTTCGTGTGCGGTCCAAGTAATGCCTTAATAAAAGAGAAATGGCTCCCAAGGCAAGTGTCTGCAGCAATTGTAGTCTCGTTGTGGCTGGGGGTGGGAGGGGAGCACAGAGAAGACTAAACCACCCACAGGAGTGGACACACAGCAGCTATCAAAGTTGCCACTGGCTGACCCTAGCTTCCAAGTGTGTCTTCTACAGAACTCCATTTACAACAGATTCTTCTGTGGTCTCCTTGTGCAGCTTCCTAGCAAGAAACATCTGCCCCAGTGGATAGAGGAAACTCGAGAGAGCCTTGACTCTTCCCACCCATTGGGCATCCTGTGGTTGGGCTCCTTTCCTCCCAGTGTGTCACCACCAGCAGCATCCCGTTCATTAATGTGGTCTGTGCACGCTCTAAACCTGGCAGTCCCTCTAGCCTTCTCACTCTCTCTGCTCCTCTACCCTCGGTCCCACCATCCCAGCCCTTCTACATCTCCATTCCTCTTCCATCCTAGAATTTCTTTTCCCTCTCAGTGCACCTTGTCAGTTACTCCTCCTTCAAGACTCAGGGGGAGCATGCATTCCCTCCTCGGCCTTTCCTGAACACCCCCAAATAAACTGATCCCCTAGTTTAAAAAAAGGATGTTTTGGGATCCCCTAGTTTAAGGAAAGGATGTTTTGCAGTCTATGTGCCTAGAATGACTTTGTAACCCTTGCTAGACTTGGTTGAAAAGAGGGAGAATCTACCCTGAATTTTCTTTATTTGTCATTTCGTTCAAAAACTATGTGCCAAACACCACGACTGCCTGCCCCAAAACACTATCTCCACATCTATCGTTTACTCTGCACCACCCCCCACCCACTCCTCGCCAGCTCCTTCCCTAGGTCTTTTCCCCAAGACCAGCTAATCCAGTGACGAAATTCTTAAAGGAATGAGCATGCCATGACTTTGGCATGCTTTTGATTGTTATGCTCTTGAAGAGAGGGCAGTAACTTGTGCAAACAAATCCTGAAGAAGCAAGCATTGTTTCCGCTGCTGTCATCAGGGCCGTACATATCTCTGCCTGGAGCCAGGCCTGATTCTGCCCTGCTGATTGGAATATTGGACTTGGAGGTGTCCATTCTGATTCCGAAGTCTGTTCCTGTCTCCTGGCCTGTGCCAAACTCTCTTTCCTTAAAGGATTGCTTTGGCCTTCCTGGAGTTTGTGGAGGAGAAGAAAGCATCAGAGGTAGGAGGCATGTTTTAAACAAACCATGTTACTTCTAAAATGGTGAAGAGAAAAGTCAGTGCAAGTTCCACAGAATCTTTCTGTGTCTGTATCTATTTTATTATGTTTAAATATGTCTCCTGCACGGATAGCAGGCTCCTGAAGGACGCTGAGTGTGTCTTCTGTATCGTTGTATCCTCTAGAGTAGCCATCAGAGAGCTTTGCATAAAGCCTTGCCCAATAAATGTTTGATGGGTGGATTTCTGAGCAGAGAAGTGGATGAAACAAAGGAAGGCAAAGAACCTGTTCTGGGGCCAGCAAAGCAGCCAAAAGGCAGGCAGAGCTGTCTCGCTTCACTGCCTTCCAGTGATTTAAGAGCAAGAAATGACATCACTAAAAGACCCAGAAGCAACTGGATTCTGAAAATAACAGTCCCTTAAGTCTCTTAGAGGGAGGTTAGGAAGAGTGACAGAGTTAATGGAAGAGAAACAAGAAAGTCACTGTGATAAAAGGCTTCTCTTAAGGATGCTTTCCTCACAGGCTTGTAGCTGAGTAACAAGCAGTATTAGCAGGAGGACAGTCTGTTCGTCTTTCTCACCATCGCTTTCCTGAGTCCCCTTTCTCTGAGCCACAAACAAAACAGTTTCTCTGTTCCCTCTGGCTGCTGTACTTTTCCCAGGAATACCATCTGGGCTTTTTTAAGGGAGGTCTAGTGCAGAGATGGTGTTTATGGGCTGAAAGCAGGAGAGAGCTTCCCTTTTGTCCTCAGACTTCGCTCTTCCTCACCTCTGGCACCCACACTCCCTGAATGTTCCTGATCCTACCATCCCCGGCCAAACTGCATTTGAATAAGGGAACATCTTGGGATGTTCAGTTCACAATTGAGGTCACAAAGAGACAGGAAGTGCAAGGGTCACGAGGGAAAATCACCTGTTATGAGCTCACCAAGGTCGGGGTCAGTGTTCCCAACCCTCTTCATTCTTGGGCTTACCTTGGAATGTCTAAACGTACTAGCAAGACACGCAGGCTCAGAGAATAAGCACTTGGGAGAGACCCTGGAATGGTCCGTGGGTGACTAAGAGACAATCAGAAGGACAGGAAAAAAGAAGGGAAGGAGGACAAGAAGTCTAAGGAACGGAGAGAGATGGAGATGTGGCGATGGAGGGAGGAAGATAAGGAACAAAGGCGGCCTCTTAGCTGCTTCAGGGAACTGATGGCGGCAGTTGCCTCTCTGGTAGTGAGCATGCTGGCTCCGGCTCTGAGTTGAGGGAAAGTGAGGCTCGCTTCTGGAAAGAAAGGCAGGGCTACCCTCGCAGAGCCCTTTCTTCAGTGTGTATGTAACTGTGGGTTCATTTCTCTACTCTCCCCGTGAGACTGAGAGCTTCCCAAGCCTAGAACTTGTCATTCTCTTGGTGTCCAGCACCCAGCGCTGTCCTGGAGCATGATGCTGAAAACAAGCAAGTCCCTTGTCAGGAGAAATAAGAGGAGTGGCCTAGCCAGAACCGTCTCAAGGGGGACCCCAGTGAGACCACTCATGAGAGCTGAGGTCACCTGGGGAGCAGGGTTCGGTCTCTCAGGTGCTGATTCACTTCAATTTAAATCCCTTGTGATAATATCTGAACCCTTTGTCAAAAGAAAGCATTTTAGATAGGCTTTCTTCTCCGCTGATTTTTGTACAATAATTTTCTACCCCCGCTGCAGTGACTGGGCTTCAAGTCACCCACATGTCTATGTGGCTTTCAGCAAGTTGCATAACCTCTTTGTGCCTCAGTTTCCTCAACTGTAAACTAGGATAATAACACCCATCTCATACAGTTGTTTTGAGGGTTAAATGAATTAATATTTATAAACTGGTTTGAACTGTGCCTGGCACATGGTACACATTATGTGTTTGTCTTAGAGAGTTGTTTGGGAAACACAGATTTATTAGAAATCCTCTTCATGTTTTCTTGCTTTAAAACCAAAATCCCCCTTCTTTGTGTTCAATTCATTCCTGAGGGAAGGGTCTTCTTTTTTTTTTTTTTTTTTGAGGAAGCTCAGCTCTGAGCTAACATCTGCCAATCCTCCTCTTTTTGCTGATGAAGAGTGGCCCTGAGCTAATATGCGTGCCCATCTTCCTCCACTTTATATGTGGGATGCCTGCCACAGCATGGCTTGATGAGTGGTGCCATGTCTGCACTCGGGATCCGAACTGGTGGACCCTGGGCCGCCAAAGCAGAGCGTGTACACTTAACCGCTGTGCCACCAGGCCAGCCCCAGGAAGGGTCTTCTTAATAGATCTGGCAAAGTGAGGATGGCCCTTGGGTTCAGCCCACTTCTTGAGCAACAGAATTTTCTCTCTGAACCTCTTCTAGGTCAGGCTGCACTTACTGTGGGAGCATGTCCACCCCAAAACTCAAATATTAGGGCAAGCCTGGAGGGAAAGGTACAATTGGAAAGTCAGGAAATCTGATTTTTTTCAGGTGGAGCCAAGAGACATAGCTAATTTCCTTTATCAAAATATTATGCACTTTGTAATAGAAAAAATATATAGGATTTTATATTGCTGTTATGTGTCACTTAATATTTGTCCCATTTAAGCCTTATAACCACCCTGCAAAGTAGTTGTTGTTTCTGTTTTACACATGAGGAAACTAACTGGGAGAGGTTAAGTAATTTGCCCAACGTCACAGAGCTGGTTTGAGGCAGAGCCAGGGTTTGAAGTGAAATCTGACTTGATTCCAAAGCCCTTTGGGGGCTCCCAACGCTGGTTCCAGAGCATGTGCTCCAGGCGTGCTACCAGAAAACAGAAGGAATTTCAACCTGGCAGGCCAGGGATCCACGCTGGAGGTTTTCTTAGGACACCAAAGTTTCCTTAGGAAACACAGGCTTGTCTGGTTCTGTAAGCCTATTGCAAAACCCTCCATTGCTGAGTCATTGAACAGCATCCCAGAGGCTGGAAGGGAGCTTTCCGAAGCTACCTGGTCACTCCCGCCCCCTTCAGGAAGTTCAATGCCAAATACACGTGATATTGAAAACAAGCAAGTCCCTTGTTTAAAAAGATCACAGCCAGTCCTCCCAACTGAAAGTTCTTTCTCAAATATTGTGCCCTTTATGTGGCACAGAAAGATGGTACTGGACAAGAGTTGCAGAAGACCCCATGACAACTAGAAGCAGCACAGAGCACAGATCTGTGAGACTGGGGCAGCCACGGGATCCCTTCCACTCGAATTTCTACTTTGTTGAAAAACGTTCACTGCTCCCACTTCCTGCAGGATGAACTCTCACCTTGGTTTGGGGTTCGAGGTCCCCCATTATGGAACTCGGCCCTCCCTTATTCTCAGCTTGCCTAAAACTCCCCCTGCTTCTGCCGCATGGGTTTACTGTGTGTTCCCGGCGCCCACCTTGGGCTCTAACTTTGTTCACACCAGCCCCTGTCTCCCTCATTCTAACCACCCCAGCCTGAAGTGACCTTGCTTTCTTCTGACCAGTTCCAACTGGCCTCAGCATGTATTTGGCAATAAATCATATACTCCTGAAATGCCCGCTGACAACAATTCTATTGTCTTGGGCTGTTACATAAATCCTTGATTGTTAACTTTTCCCGTGGTCATTTCTTGCCTCTCCAACCAGAGACTGGAGGGCGACAGCCGTGTGTTACCCATCTTTGCGTGTCCACACCCGGTGCCTGACACCTCGTAGATTCCCAGTCAACATCTCTAGGTTTGTTTTGAAGACCGGCCAACTCTCTCTTTGCTCCCACTTTTCTGTTTGTACCAAGAGTATCTTGAACAAATAAAAAGGAATCTGGCAGTATTTTCCTTTCAGGCTGTACTTGAAATTTAGCCTTCTGGAGAGGCTCTGCTGTCTCATTATTGAGAGTCC